AACAACACAGATGTACTCCCAATCTGGTCTAAGTTTCTATTTCCTCTGCCTTTGCACACAGTTTGCATCGTGCAGATAAAAATGTTCTTTCCTAAGTCTCTGAGCAGGTTTTTTAGAATGTAAATCTTATGGTTTAATAATGTATCTTCTTTTCTGCTCTCAAACTGGACTTGTGTTTGTATTTCGTCTCGTCAGTGGTTACTGTAACAACACGCTGCCACCATCAGAGGCATATAGTTGGTCTGAATGGTCCCTCGTTGTCTCCTTAAGCTGAGGAACAACATGGCAGACAGCAGAGCTTCCTTTCACTACGTCAGCTGCTGGGAGACCACAGGATTCTGGGATGTGGCCTCGCCGGGGGAGGAGAAGTTATGAGGGGATGAGGTGGGGGTGGACGGCAGGGAGGAGGCAATAAAGAAATAAAAAGAAGAGGGGGCAGGATAGGAATGAAGGGGAGGGGTATTTTCTTTTGCTCCATTAGAGAGGAAGGTCTGAGCATTCCCCCTCTGGGCAGAGTTAGCATACAGTCATCAATCTGCTAGGTTAAAGGAGAGTGTATAAAGCCACAGTGTCCCCAGAGCCATGATGTTTAGATCTTGCCCTCCCCCCCCCCTCCCCTGCTTCTGTACCAAGAGTGCATCTACATTTGTTGATTCAGGATGATAATGCATACATGTCATGACTGTACGCTAGCATCTACACAAATACACCTATGGCACTTTTAAACTACATAACGTTGTCATGGTTTATCTATGACAACTTTGTGGAACATCTTGGCTCTGCTTCGATGGTTAATTACAGGTACTTTCAGGAGGTGCCTCCAATCCCATTGGCTATTGGTCTTACAATGATTCAGCCCCTGTAAGCCATTTCCAATACTTTGGGGGGGTCCTGTGTAGCCATCGAATATCAGGGCCAATACTTCCTTCTCCGTGCATTCATTTCTGTAATAGTCTGATATGCTAATTTAAAAATGGAATTGGGAGATGATTTCTATTCTGACATCTGGCTCATTTACAATTAGCTGGTTTCAAGCACATTTTAGGCTAATAAAAAAAGTGTGTTGACAGACAATAACCAATGGGTTTCAAGATAGCGTTCGGGCAAAAGCATACCAGCTAACCTTTTAGGAGAATGCTTGAAATGGTTAATACCACTCTTACTACAAACCAGGGCACTTATGTGAAGGGAATTGTATCTTGTTTCCTACAGCTTCTGCATTTATATGTTGGTATAGTTTAACAGAACACAAGACTTTCTGCTCCCCAAAAAATATTCTGCTAACATGAAGACCATGTCAGGCAGAATGATCAGGTTTAGCCCACGTATAGGTTCTGTTTCTGCACTGATAATGACCGTAAATGTTAGCAATAGCAACCTTAAAAAACTGTTGTTTATACCTGCTGTTAGATATACTGTCCTCATGGATTTGGACACCTGTCAGCCAAGTCACAAACCACTGCTTTCCATGGTTTCAACAGACAGATGGTCAGCAAGGCGTTAAACTTCACGGAAACGGTTTAAGGACTGTACTGTAAATACACTCTCAAATGGGCTCAACATCATCCACGTGTAGTGAAGTAAACCCTTGAGTACGGTAATGACACCAATCAAAACAGACTAAATATGCCTCAATGGGATGAGTGAATAATATCTAGGATGGTGAAAATCAGCTGGTTGGATTCGCACAGGAAGAACACTACTGTATGCGTCACAAAAAAAAGCTGCTGTAAAAGTAACTGAAGGATCAAGATGGATGACTTTGAGCAAGGGAAAGCTAAGGACCAAAAACGATGAAAGAGTACCAACTGAGTGAAAAAGGTTTCCTCGGATCTTAGAAACGTATGTCTGAATCGCTTAGGATAATGAGGCAGAAAAAGCTACGGGAGATGTTTGGAGTCTGACAGGGATGAAGAGCAAGAAGCAGAAGGAGGAGGAAGGAAGGCTCTGTAAGTGGTTCCCAATGTAGTGCCAGTCAGCTGCTATCTCCTGGGAAGGGAAACAATGAAGTCGTGAGAAAAGGGAAGTAGACAGGGGATGGAACAAGGGAGGTTTTTCAGATGAAAAGAAGAAGATTAATGGAAAGGAAGTAGGGGTGTAACGGTTCACAGAATTCACGGTTCGGTACGTACCTCGGTTTGGATGGGATCTAGCTCCTGTGTGTTATCTGGAATCGCCAAACTAACTTTTCTCCTTCTTGTATTTTGTTCGTTTTGTTGTGTTTTGTTGTTCTTTATTTGTTGTTTAAGGGCGGCTGGCAAACAGCTTTTAGGCGCAATACCGCCCCCTGGATTATATATAGTATAATGGATATTGCCCTGAGTGACAGACTTTTTTCCCACTCGTAAAACAAGGCGTATTCGTCGTGTGACTGCATGTGTCGAACCCTGACGGTTCGGGACGAATACGGATACACCCCTAAAAGGAAGGTAGGCCTATAGTGAACTACAACAATGAAACGTTGAACAAAAACTAACAAGGAGATATGCACAATTTAATGGATCCAGACTAATTTATCACATTTCACAGCTAATGGCTAATTCACCTGAAAATAACTGTTACAAAAACAGACAAGACAGGTTTTTTTGTATAATCTTAGCTACCTATCTGGGTTAGCATTCAATTTATATTCAATCACAAAGCCTTACTTCCCGTTAAGGCTGAACACGCGGCCCACGCTACAGCTTCTGTGTAAATGGTGCAAGGTTAAATTTGGCAAAAAAAAAAAAATGCGAATATGTATTTTTCACCTTATAAGGTCGAACTTAAGAGTCTTTCTAATGAGCTGGTGTTCAGGCATGTTCATAATTCAACACGTTTCTTCCAACGTTCTCAACATTTTCATCTCAAAATATCCTTGCAACAAGGTCAGCCATTCACATCTTTCATCACATTTTTACTCTTTAAATACTGGAAAGGTTTTTTGTCTTCAGATGAGAACGTGAAGCTTTAAGTCAGACAGCCGATGTGAGATGAGCCCAGACACTTTTAGTTCTGCTTGGCTGGCCGCCGCTTATCCTAAAGGGATTCTTGTTTTTCTTTTTGTGTGCAGGGGTTTTAAAAAGGCACTATCATGCAAAAAAGATAGGTGCTGGCATTTAGTTAACAAAACTGTTTGGGTTAGGGACAGGGAGAAAAAGTAGTAAAAACGTGTCGAGCTCGAGGGGTCGTCCCGTGACACAGTTGTTTAAGACACAAACCTCATGGCCTTCACGTTTCTTCTTTGTGGTCAACATAGTTACATGACAGCAAATGTACAAACTATACAGAGAAAAGCTTTAATTCATTATTCTGTCTCTGTACATTAATGAAGTGGTGTAATGTGCCTCGGATAGGATAACATTTGTCCCTAAAGTAGAAACATTTCAACTGGATGCCAAGGACCAATTTGTTTTGCCAAAAATCAGCGGCAGATTGTTTATCTATCAAATCTTACAAAAAGTTATTTTGACATCTGTCTGTTATTGTTCTACAAATGTTGGGCAATCAGTGCACCTTTGCAACTCCCTGCGAAACCTGCTTAGGCAACAGGACTACTGGGTCAGGTTTGGGTTTTTATAACCTATGTACATGGCCTTACTTCAGCATGTAAGTCAGGTCACAAAACTTATAACTCAACATTAACCATCAAACAGTTAAAAAACGGTACTTGTTATACCAATAAGGGCACCCAGACCTTTTCACTATGCTTAAACATTTGAATTGTATAGTTGCTATAATGGTTTCTGTCTCTCATTACTGTTATAGTTCATACTGTAAATAACTTTCTGTACATCACTAACAAAAAATAGTTTTTTGTTTGGTATTATTCTCAATTTCTGTAATTGTCTTTTAAGTTGAGTGTACTGAGACGCCTTTTCTTTTTTTTTTAGGAATATATCAACTACAGACAGTACATGAAGAGTAACACCTGACAGGTACAGTGTGTCTTCTGTGCCACTGCTGCTAACATTCATCCATGCAGAACCAGAACTGGCACATTGACACTCTGCCTCTGTGTCCCAATCTCTGCTTCAGGCAGCATGCTGGCTTACATACAGTACATGTATATAGCTCACAGGTTAATAGGTAAATATACTGGTATTTAAAACTTAAGCGGGTAAAATGAACAAATATGACAAACTGCCTTTGAGTTGCCATTCATCAAAAGAACAATCCCCCAAATGCTCCAGGTCGGCAGCTTCCAGGTGTGAATATGTGTCTTTATATAAATGTTAAGCACATGGGTGGTGGAAAAAGAGTGTTTTCTCAAATAAATCTTTCTCTGTGTGAAATATTCATGGTTTGATGAGTTCATAACACCCCTGCTGGTTCCAAAATGTTAACATGATCATTACCCAAAGAATATTAAACTGGCGGTTGGCAAAAACAACATTATTCTCTTCTGTCTAATCCTCTAAACCTCTTATTGTCAGTGCTGGGATAACATTGTTAGGTGAGGGAGTTGCACTTGAGTAAGAGCCATGTGATAATTTAATCAACATGGTTTAATTCTTCAAAACATTACAAAAAACTAATGGCAATCTGCCCATTAGAAAAACAGCAGAAGAAGACAGCTCATGAGGTGTCTAATTAAAAAAGGGTTTATCATCTGGGGGAAATTAAGGTTCTCATATCATTTTATACTGTTGGGATCATCCCCAGAGAGCCATGCATATGACTATATTCAATAAAATTCAGTCCTTATATTATATTATATGTTTGTCCAGGGAAAAATGTGAAGCTTGTGGTGGCACCATAATCATGAACAATACATTTCTTAGGAACATGAATACACATAACAGTCTGGCCAGTAATTGTTTTGATATCAAAGACATTAACTAACAAACCAAACAACTAACAGGAAATCCTGAAGCCTTGCAACTAGGAGGATATAGCTGAACGTAGGAGATAAGATTGAAAAGGATGATGAAGAACATGTACGCAAAAACACAGAGACGGCAGAAAATCAAGATTATACTTTAAAAACGTCAACAAGTATGAAAAGCATATAGACTCACGCTGTAGAGGATTTCCGACCAGCCCTCCATGGTGATGCACTGGAAAACTGTCAGCACCGCAAACCCGATATTGTCAAAGTTGGTGATGCCAAAGTTGGGTCCCTTCCAGTATCCTTTGCAGATGGACCCATTCGTACACAACCTGGCCGGGGGCTCCACGCCACAAGGCCAGTCTGCTACTATCTCATCTGACACAGAGAAAAAATAATTAGGGAAAGAGAATTAGATCGATAGGCAAATGTACATATTCAGGTCCTTTTTCATTTTAAACTTCTTCTGACTGTATGTGTCTAATGGATAGACGGATGGTAGGATTAATAGTGAGATCTCAAAGTACTATAATTATTGAAAAGGTTTGCCTCCATGAGAAAGGTTAACAGAAAGTTAACAACAGCAAAACTATGTTTGCTGAGAACTTCCAAAACAAATGCATTTTCGCTCAAATGTTACAGAGTAAACAGTCTCTCGCTACACCTCCAGACTTCTACATTTAAGTGTTTGGATGGCATAATACTAAGGAAAATGCATTCAAGGTAACAAAGGGTGAGTCATTCAAATACAAATGTTAATTTAAAGTGTAAAGCATTCTTTTAAGCCACTGAAATGATTGCAGTACTCCAAAATGCTAGCAGGTTTTATTCGGGTCCTATCACCTGCAACTTTCTTTAGCTGCCTTATATTGCCCTGATATGTATATCCCATGATCTCTTAACTATTAATCATGTCATGCCGATTACACCTCCATAGGGAAACACCTGGGAACATCCTCCCAGGTGCCCCGCCCACATAGACTGCTTCTTCTCAATAGAGACCATTGACCTATGGACCTTATCATGCAGAGTGTGACTGCAGCCTCATTCTGTCAGTCATTGCACAAAGCCTGGACCACAGGTGAAGGCTGGCACAGAGATGGACAGGTGGATCTGGAGCTCTGCTGTGGCTTGGCTCCCTCTTCAGCAGCAGGCTCCAGCAGAGCGGCACTGTTATCGCAGCTGAGGCACCGGGCCAGCAGCCATTATCACAGCCTCTCATCTTCACTCACAACATCTGGAAGTAAACTATTGGCTCCTTTCCCCATTTATTAAACATAAATAAATATGCTGTTAATGGGTTCTTATTTCAGTTGAATTATTCCACTCCATTGATGGTGCAGGTGAAAGTTATTGGTACTTTAAGATAGTGCTAACACATCACGAGGGATGACATCTAAGTTGTACCTTATCGGAGTGACTGGGAGAATCGAAGATACCATATGTTCAAAGGGTGGTATTATTTACCCCAAATACAAACAAACAATTTATGTACTTATGTAACAAAGTTGTGGGCACATACTGTAAAGGAGGTCAACCAAACTGAATAACATTAGCTAATAATGACAAAGACTGAACACAGAGAGGAACATCTAAAATGGCAGATCAAACAAATAGTATGTTTGCAATTAACCACAATAGGAGCTCCAACAAAGTAACATAGTCTAAATAATTAAACTAAAGACTGAGATCTTTGTTATACTTTCTCTACATCTTTCTTTCCATCCAGTGGAGCATACTTGTTGAAAATACAAGTGCACACAGATACACAGTAGAAGATGCACACTTCAGGTAATGAAGTAAATCAAGATGATCTAGTATTAAACTGCACTATACGTATGTTTCTTTGTCTAAAACTTATTAAAGCCTCCCAACAATGCCAAAAACATCAAATAGGATATGACTTTTAAGCAACAATAAACAAAAACTTGATAAAGATGTGTTTTTCAGTGAGTTTACAGAAGTTGTGTTGTCAGGGTTACGTCAGATCAAAGTCAAAGTCAACTTTATTGTCACTCTTCTGTTTGTGTGATACAGACAGGGAGATCGAAATGCTGTTTCTTCCAATCCAAAGGTTATCGAGGTAGTGGTCTAACTAAGTGAGATGTGTCACTATGTGCTTGACTGAGCAGGGATTATGAGGTTACAGGGCGGAGGGAAGCAGAGAGTTATTTTGAAGGATGAGCTGGAACACACGTCAGCAGATGGGGATCAGAATAAAGAATACATGTGCTGAGTATAACAGATGCCATGTGCACCCAGAGTTTCATGAGGGATAGTGCCATGATCACAGACCCTGCCAGGTATTAACGATGATTTGGAGAGCCAGATTGCACAGCCAACATCCCTCTGGTGTCACTCCAGTAAAATGTCTCTTTTCCCTATCCTTCGTACTGACAGGTGCTGCGTCAGCCGGACTCAGCGTCCACGGGCGCTACAGGAGCATCTCAGTTCTCTACTCTCTTCTATTGAGTGCTGTTTCTAAAGTATTGGGGCTAACATTTCTTAATGAAACATTTAAAAGTCAAAGTGAAATGTCATATATATTTAAAATTGTTTTGTTTCCATAATAATTTTATTTTTTATAATATTCTTTGTTTTATTAATGGAAGTTGGTCATAAAAAAATGTATGGAAATGTTTCTTAAAATGCTTTTGTGTTTTTAGTTCAACTCTGAGCCAGTAGGACATACCACCATAGAATATCACTCCTAATATATTCTGAGGGTTTTTAACAGTGGGGTTTGTTCAGTTATCATTCAGCCTGATTTATAAAACAATTAATCTGGCTTCAACCAATGTGTATATTAGTTTTTCAAAATACATACAATGGACCACCAATTTGATAAGAAAATGCCTCATTGTTGAAGCCAGATTCATAATTATTGTTTCATTGGCAAAGCCTCAGCCGATAAAATAACAGAGAAGAAGAAACAATTTCCTATTTCCCAAAAGACAAACAAACCAAGCTCCTCAATAACCTTGCACTCAAGTGAAGGGAAGCCAAAGAATTCACACTTGAAAAAACACAAACATGCTCAGACACACACACACACACACGCTCACACACACGCTCACACACACACACACACACACACACACATGCTCACACACACACACACACACACACACACACACACACACACACACACACACACACACACACACACACACACGAAAAAAATAGCTTTTATGGTAAGAAGTTGTCACCAGCGCTGCTCAGATTAATCAAACCCTGCTGTGTTTCTGGACTAAAATAACACAATAACACACGTACTGTACATTAGCAAGCTGTGACAACTGCTCACACCACACACACACACACACACACACACACACACACACACACACACACACACACACACACACACACACACACACACACACACACACACACACACACACAGACAGACTGATGGACATATCCACATTGTTTTACAGCTGGGCCAGCCAATAGCCCTGCAGGCTCGCCTTTCACACTCTCTCTGACACCAGCAGTTTTTATCACTTCCTCACACAATGGGTAATTTCATTCGAGCCCACTGATTGTGTTCTCTATAATTACTATAATGCTGCATATAATAATACCACTGCGATAATAAACTGGCTGTGACTGATGAGAAATGGGTTTTGTTGCTATGCTAACTCACACACAAGGGAGAGGCTTTTTCTTTCTGCCTCTCCCTCCTCGAGGTCAGTTAGTTTTGAGGGTCTTTGGTTAGTCTTAGGTATTCTGTAGGTTTTAAATGTAACTATACACATGATTGTGTTCCTATTTTTGACATGATGTTAATATCAGTTGTAGTATTAGGGACCTTTTTCTCGAGCTTCAGATGGCTTATCAGGTTGTCCTATTTCACATATATCCATTATCTCTCATGATTGTAAGTTTGTTTGTGAATGAAATGAGTTGAATAATTAATTGATTCTTGGATAATAAAGATTGCTGTCTTAAAGATGAATCTGGTGGAAATTGATTTGAAAACTGGATTCTTTTTTGCTTGTTTCTTTCTTTCCTATTAACTCAATTAGATTCTGTTGTAATGATTATTTTCAAAACAGGTGTGAACTAAACCTTGTAATGGTCTTGTAAATCATCTGGCTGCCAATACATCAAAACACATTCAAAATGTGTACAAAAGTTGAAACTCTACAGTACATATACTTCCTTCTGATGTAGGAGACAGAACTAGTGGATTGTAACCTCATTGACACCGTCTGAGGTAGCGTTCGATCAGGGGGCGGGGAGCATGAGAATTCATATTGAGATACAGTGGAAGCTATCAATCAAAACCTGAAGACTGTGAAATACCATTCATCAAAATCAAGATGTGAAAAATGGCTGTCAGAAATTCTGCTGTGCACATTGTTTGTTGCGTTGATATAAACACGCTGCCTGCCAGCGCTGTGAATGTGAAGCCACTCCTAAGCCGAACACAAACATACATACACGACTTATGAATCATTTATGTACGCCTGCATCCATATGCGATGCAATATTTGTTCTCGTGCGTAAAACATTTTCAGCTGAAAGTTTCTCCTGGCATTAACTTGGCATGTTTACTTCAAGATTTGGCTCTCACCATCTTTGAAGCAGGTGCTGTGGAATTTTCCCATGTAAAACTCCACCCCGATGATGGCGAACATGAGGATGGCGAAGAAAAGCAGCAGGCCGATCTGAAGCAGAGGAACCATGGCTTTCATTATGGACTTCAACACCACCTGGAGACCTGAGGGACAGAAAGACGAGGGAAAGGGGCGAGAGGGGGGAGTTAGAGGGGTTGTTTCAAAGGATTATTAAGGTGTATTCTACCTTGGGTCTTATTTTTGTTGTTTGTCTATCACTACATTATTTATAACATTGTACTCAATCATAAAAAGGCTGAGATATGGGAACACAACAACATCGCTCCAATTAGGTAGAAGTTGGCCTGTAAACTCTGATCGTCTGACTAGAGGGATATTATGCTACTCCAATGTCTTATCAATAAACTGGTAGTACAATTTAAATATCACCTGCTGTATGGACATAATGGTCCAAGTAAACACAAATAAGCCTTTAAGAGGAGAACCCTGAAAAGGGTGACATTTTAAATGAATAAATATCAAAATGATATTTCTTACATGAAGGCAAGTATTCTGAAGTTATGATACAATATATAAATGAGGCATTAACTTGCTCACTTTGGATGAATTTGGGAGCAATCTTCAGATAGAGTAAGTTTGATGGGGTCTTTCTTATCGTTTATCTGAACTAAGACATGTTAATGGAGCAAAAAAGCCCAAAAGCTCTGTGTGAAATACTTTATTTAGACCCATGCTTCATTAAATATGTAGTGAGTGTTATTCAGTTTTCTCTTGCAAACTTCCCAATAAGACAATCCAACACTAGTTTAAATCTGTTGGAAATAAAGTAAAGAAGTAATCAACAGTTCGTACAAGCTCAATCTTCCATGGTACACGTATTGTGTAAATATTTGTATGATTTTGAGTGACTTACTGGGGATTCCTGACACCAGTTTCAGGGGCCTCAGCACTCTCACTGCTCGCAGGGTTCGCAGGTCGAAGTCTGTACCCACCGTGGCCAGGATTCTGTAAACACACAAACATGGACGGTTACACAACATTTCACTGTAGCATTAAAAAATCACAGCATATGTTTGCAAGTAACAATGACTTCCTGTTTCATTTGCTTTTGTTTCCTTTTCAAACATGCAAATCATACTCTTCAGAGCCCAGTGACATGTTATAAAGAAAAAAAGCAGTGGTTACGAAACACAAATATTTTGAATTTTGCAATAAATAAAACAGAGACGAGCATTTTGTATGCACATACAGACACACACACACACACACACACAAACACACACACACACACACACACACACACAGCATATAGGTTGATCACGTGACGATTACATCATGCGCTGTTTATATCTGCTTTCACCTACAGTACAAATGGAGGAGCGACCTACTGTGGCACGTCCTTGTGTGTGTGTGTGTGTGTGTGTGTGGTGTGGTGTGTGTGTGTGTGTGTGTATGTGTGTATGTGTGTGTGTGTGTGTGTGTGTGTGTGTGTGTGTGTGTGTGTGTGTATGTGTGTGTGTGTGTGTGTGTGTGTGTGTGTGTGTGTGTGTGTGTGTGTGTGTGCTTGAGCCACAGAGACACAGCTGGCAGCCCTCATTACAGGCTGTACACAGAGGGAGAGACTTAAGTGCACCTCTGAAACATTAAGAAAAAAAACCCAACGTGCTCGAGGCTACATGGAGAGAAGCGCAGCCGGGAATGATAATGTATCTGGAAAAATCTGGAATCTGAAAAAAAGCGAGGGCCATTCCGACACACCTTGTTTAATTAGGCGTAGATTTACATGTTTAAAAGGTGGATAATTTATTGTAATTATCATTTGGAAAAAAAACACAACACTGAAATGGATTTTCATTTTGTCCAATCCGACGAACAATGCCGCGGACATGTAATGGATTGAGAGGTCAGAGTGGATTGATTATCAGACTAAATTGCCAGCTGTTAGTTTTCCCTCAGCTAAACAAAAAACTGCTAATTCACAGCATTTTTTTTAAACGCATTTCAGTGTAAATTACATTATTCATAAGATCCCAAATGAGTATGTTTTTTAAACCTCTGAGTTAAGAGTTAAGTACAAGCAGGAAGAAAATCCTCAAGGGTACAATAGCTTTTATACGGAGGGTAGCACACACTCACACGCCTGAAATGCCACACACACACAGAAAAAGTGGAAAACAAGAAAGGTCGCTTAATGCTCCTTGGTTACCAGTTGGCATGGTAACCGATAAAGCACATCTGTGGGAATGGGAATTATTATTATGGGTGAAGTCAGGCTGCTGGGATGGAAGTGGCTGCTATGTAATATACAGTATATTGTTATATACATATTTCATGCACAGGCTTTGCATTAATCAAATTGTCAGACAGTGATGGATTTCCAAAGGCTCCATTTTAATATTTTCGTATTACCCTTCAACATACAAATTGTGAGTCCCATTTATCAAACTGTTTGGAAATGGAACCCATCTTTAGGAATAGGAAGTGAGAGAGCTGACTAAAAGATGAAATATTGATGAGGGCTGTAAAGACTTAAATTAATATCATCTTTCCATGATGCTGAACATCAAGTAGGTTGTGACTCTCCAATATGCTATACCAGTAGCGGCTGTCAGTTCAAGGCTGCCAAAGACTTTGAGATGCAATACAGCCTCCTTATGCTCACATTTAGAGAATACTGTATGTGTCAATTTCTTATATGAAGATAACTGGATATAGAGCTAATTGATTAGGGAGGCAGACTGTGTCCACACATTTAAGAGTAGGCTGAAGACTTTCCTCTTTAGTACAGCGTACAGATTAAAACTGGTTATAAACTCCCTTTTAAACATCCCCATGGACCCTTCATTTTATGGAATTATTATTAATAATCCCATAAAATGAATGAATTATGAATTATTGTATTCTAACTGTATTTGTGTCATTGGTATTTTCACATGTATCTTGTCATTTTACTATATTCTCAGATATGTTTCTTGTTTTTACATTATCATTCATTTAGTTTGTTGATTTGTGAAGCCCTCTGAGACAAATGTGTTTTGTGATATTGGGCTATATAAATACATTTGAATTTAATTGAATTGAGGGACTCCATTCATTCCAATTAAAGTTGCCCAGTGGCAAACAATCCAAAAAGGCTTAAAGGTCCCATGTCATGGCCATTTCTACTGATCATAATTCCATTGTTGAGGTCTACTAAAATACATTTATATTGTGCAATTTTCCAAACTCACATTGGTTTCTCATACAGCATCTCTGTATAGTATGTGTATTCACTCTCTGTTCTTAACGGCTTGTTGGAGCTCCTGCCCCCCCCTCCCTGTGAGCCCAGTGGCCGTCTGCGAGACTGCGAGACACCGCGGAACTCAGCCTGGGCACACACACAAACTCCCAGCCAGGCTGCGGGTGTGTGTGTGTGTGCCCAGGCTGAGTTTTGCGGTGTCTCGCTGTCTTGCCGACCCCACACCAGTGAGCCAGCTCACAGTGTCCCGCTCCTCGCAGCAGCGAGCCTTGCAACGTCCCACCGAGTGTGTGTGTGTGAGGAAGTCCGCGGATTGGTCCAAACGTAACGGCTCCGTGGACGTAACGGCTCCGCGGATTGCTCAATTTGGACCAATCTGCGGAGCCGTTACGTTACGTTACGTCATACCTGAAATACGTCACTATACCCAAGAAGTAAACAATGGAAAAAGAGAAATGTCCAACGAGGCGTTCTGGGGCAGCATAGACAGGTCTTTTCTGTGTTAGAGTTTTACTCGCTACAGGGTGTACTTTGAGGGTTTGTGACTCTGCAGACCGTTTACATGCAAAAAAAGCTACATAACACACAAGGGGACGGGTAATAACCAGAAAAGCATGACATGGGACCTTTAACTAACGAGTGATACAATTTATGCCATGAGGAGTAGATCATGTAGATTTCTTAAAGTAACATTTGGAAAAGAAACTGATAAATACTTTGCAAAAACTGTAGAGAAACTTAGAATAATGGACCCATCCTTCCTCCCAAAGCATTCAACCTAAGGAAAGAGTGAACAACCAAGCAGAATACCTTTTAGCCGCACCCTAATTACCACTTAGGATACACCAAGCCACTACCAAGGTAACCTACCAAAACACTGAGAAACGGGGAACCACCTAGCAATACCCTAGCTAACTCTGTAATATTGAGCTTTTATAGCTGCTTTATATAATACAAACACTTCAGAATGACTGTAAATAGTGTTGTAATGGGAATTATATAAATAAAACACTTAGATACCAAGATAATACTCTGGTGGTATGGTGTGGACAAATGAAAGACAAGCAGGAATAGTCTTTTCACTGTACTCAAAGCAACAGTGACCTGTAGGAGCAAAATGAAGAGGATATAAAACATGAATCATCCCTCTGTGCAGTTTTATATCCTCAACAATCAATAACTCACTTTGTTCTGCACATGTATGTGTGTCCGTGTGTGTGTTCATGTTTGCCTGAGAAGAGATGATTTGATGACTGCAGACAGACAGTCGGGCAGGGAGCAGGCTGGAGAAGAAGCCATGAGTTTTAATATCCCTTTATCATCGGCACAATATATCCATGTGGGCGCCAGACACCGGCACAGGAAATATGGAGGGTGATGCTATCGTCTGACACACACACACACACACACACATACACACACACACACACACACACACGTTCTCTTTGTTTCATCACACACAGGTACAACCACTAAAGGATGTCTGAGCAGGTAGCTTTTCTGGAGAATAAATAAAATAGGCAAATACATTTACTAAGACACATTCATACACACGTGATTTTCAAATTGGTGTACAAATACACACACAAGAAAGAACCTATTTCCTGTGTGCTTCATCAAATATATATCCAGCTGCGATTCAGCTTTTCTCGCTGGAATAAAAATAGAACGTGAACTATTTTAACCTTGAAGAAACAATGGCAGAAAAATACTGAGAGACAAGAGTGACTCATGCTGCCCATCAAAACCTGTGGGAGGGAACACACTGGTCTGGTTTTCTATTCATCTATGAAAAAATACATGCAAAAAATAAAATGACTGGTGGAAAGAGAGAACTAAGTACAATACTGATGCTAACGAGTGTTTAAACTGGCAACTCTCCACTAACAAGTCAGCCATAACAAGTTTCAGGGGGAAAGGACAGGACTTCTCGTTTGGACAGTTTATTGTTGATTAAAATGTGAAAGAAAAGTTTGACATACAGTATAGGAAATAAATGTACCACTGGGCAGGTTTCCATGCAAATATTAACCACATTTCGAGAAAAACGACAAATGAAAATGCAAATGAATGATTTGTAACTATCGTTATGTAACACTTGGTGTTGGTTTATGGAGATAAGCTGTAGGTGGCTTCAATCCTCCAGTCAGGAAACTATAACACCATTGCAAAATGTAAAAAAACAACAACCTGACAGCATAGTTAAAGCTCAGTAATCATGAAGTTTTATCCTGTTTTATTAAGTTGTACAAAAAACTACAGATTTGTGAAATGTATAAGTGCTGGTATGTGCATTTTTTCAACATTAGAGAGAGCCACAATCTTACTTAATTACTTTATAGGGTCAGAAAACAGCCAAAATGAAAAACAAACTGAGTATATAGCTGAGAAAAAGAGAGAAGCAGCGCGCCCTCCTCTTGAGGCTGAGTGATGTAGTTTAATTACTGCGAGTGTGCGACCCTGCCCAGCTGTGGGCCGGGGGCTGTGATTGAGTTCTTCACACATCCTGGTAAGAGGAGACGGAGGCTCCCAGAGGACAGACGAGAGAACATGGTGCTGAAAACCTGCCTGAAAACCTGCCTGAATATCTGCCTGAATATCTGCCGGTCTGTCTGATCGTCAGCAGCTGCTCACGGACTGTCTGTCTCTCTGCATGCGTGACATCTTCCTCACATTTGAAACGTGCCTACCAGAGGATATTTTAATTCCTACTGGTTGAGCTGGTGCTGTTAGTTTGTATTTCTCCTTTTCTTTCCTTTCAGCACAG